GAATCTCCCCAGCAATATGAGTCTCCCTTGAAACTTATAACCTACTTTGACCCATCGTACATTGTAAGCACCAAGAGGGAAAGGTTTGTATTCATTTAATCTCTGCTTCCCTTTCCCTCACTCCCTATACAGAGCTTTGCATGTAGCAGAGAATTGATAAATATTTCTGGACTTGAGCAAAATATAGTCTGTAGTTAGGACTGCTGGGAGCAGAAGGAGTGGGTGGGTGCCCCGAGGTTTCAGTAAACTATATGAGTGTGAGCAGAACAGGGAGGCGGGGACTTTGCACAGAGAGGTGATAGGGAGCCTGAACCCCTTCAGAATCACACCAGGGAGGAGAAGCATATTGCTGAAGAGCATGGAAAACTAGAGGGCCTTGGAGATGGGGGTGGCTTGAGGAAGGACACTAAGTATTGGAAGGGACCCCAGGTTACCCTGAGACAGGTCTGTGAAAACTTACAGGCAAAAAGAGGAGAAAGGTTTTTTTTGTTTTGTTTTGTTTTTTGTGTGCTGGGGATTGAACCTAGGGCCCTGTGCTTGTGAGACAGCACTCTACCAACTGAGCTATATCCCAAGCCTCAAAAGAGGGGATAGGAACCTGGAAGCTTGGGTTCTGGTCACACATCCTTTACTCTTTTTGTCAGGAGGGTACTGGGTATTGAACTCAGGGGCACTCGACCACTGAGCCACATCCCCAGCCCTATTTTGTTGTTGTTGTTGTTTTGTTTAGAAACAGGGTCTCACTGAGTTGCTTAGCACCTCGCTTTTGCTGAGGCTGACTTTGAACTCACAATCCTCCTGCCTTAGCCTCCTGAGCCACTGGGATTACAGGTATGTGTGCACCACTGTGCCTGGCCACATCCTTTACTCTTGAGCTGTGCATTCAGGACAAGTTATTTCCTCATCTGGACCTATTCATCTGTAAGATGAGGGGTTGGATGCCTGATCTCCTAGAACCCTTTCAGTGTTGCTTTTCTTACACTGGGGGTTTGGATGTGCCCCTCCCCAGGCCTCAAATGCAGGAATGACCCAAACCAGGTCCTGGACTGTTTTCTCAAGAAGTGGCTAGAACCTGATGCAGTGGGGAAGCAAGCAGGTGGCCTGGGTAAGCTGTGCCCTGGCTTGGAGGCTGTGGAGGTAAGTGGCTGGTGGAGACAACACTTCTAATTCAGAGCAAGTAGAAGTGCCAAGTTATCAGCCCCAGGGAATGATTTTCAGCAACCCCCCACCTTCACCCCTGCTTTCCTCTGCTGGGCTTCCTGTCCTCTCCCTTGTCCTAACCCCAGTCTGAATAAATGTAGATTCAAACCCTAGATTTACATTTACTCAACTGTGTGATTCTGAGAAAGTCACTTAACTTCTCTGAGCTTCAGTTTCTGTACCAGTCAATGGACTTATTTTATTGAAATTACTCTTGTGAAATGCTCAGGACTGTGCCTACTGCTAGATCTCCCTTCCCAAATCTGGAAAAGAACAATTGGTACTTGTTGCCCCTGCGCCCCAGGGTAAATGGCGAATGCTGCTTTGTGGGGGCATGGGGTAGAGCATATGGAGGAACAGGTTAATGATGAGAAGGTTTAGTGGTCTTGCTCAAGCTGCCCCTGATTGCCAATTAGGGTGGCCACTCAACCTGTAAGTCTATTTATTGTTACTAAGGGCCCAGGAACTGTCTGGAACTTTCCTTTAGGGGTCCATGGTTGAGGCCTGGCTAATGGTTAGGAGGTGGGCGGCATGGCCTGGTCTGCACATGTGCACTGTGGATGTTCCTGCCACTCTTTTGAGCCTGGTTCATCCAAGGCCCCCAGTTTCTAATCTGGTTGGGAAGGATTTATTTTTGGGTCCCTGTAACCTAGCAATGGGCTCACATGACCAGTGGCAGCTGCCGGCTGAATACACTGTTGGATCTCGGCTCCTGGCAGGGGGTGTGGGCCAGACTGTGGGGGAATAAAGAGAATGGAAAGGCTCTCACCTCAGTCTTCCTGCACCCCCCTCCTAGTGCCTCAGCCTGGCCCCCAGATGAGGACAGGGGAAGGTGGGTGCCTGAGGAGCAGGCCCCATGGTGCCAAGCTGTAGTGGAGAGGCCCCAGCTGTGAGCCTACTTCCTGGGTGGGAGAGTTGGCTGTCCACATGGATGGAAGTGGGTGCTGAAGGGACACAACGCTTGCCTCCTGGGGATGAGGCCAGACTGGGGAGTGCTCTGTATTTTGGGATCTCAGGGGCTTCCCTGGTTGCTACTGGAATCCCAACATCTTGCTTCTTCCCTTTGTTTCTTGATAAATTGTTAATATTCCTGGGAGAGAGAACACATTAAGCTGCTATCATTACCAACGGATTTATCAACCTCTTTCCTCAGAGCAGGTTTTGACAGAAGGCAGAGAGAAAACAGAGGGAAGACAGTGGTTACCTCTAAGCAGAGGGGCTACAGGGAAGGAGCTATGGGCTCATAGAAAACATTCAATATTTAATAAATGGATACATGGATGAAAGGTAAACTTGGTCAGTTGCAGTATCTCATGTTGGCAGGAAAGGGTGGGTGGAGTGAACAGAATACTGTCAAGAGGGGCTTGTGGGCAAGGGTGGGATAGAGTTGTTTCAAGAAGCAAGTCTAGGATGGACAGACCAGTCCTCAGCACCAAGGGCTTCCCCATGACACGGGGAGAAGGGGTCCTGGTCTTCATCCTATACCAGGGAACCTGGGCGTATGTGGTGGACCATGGATCTATGACATGTTTTGAGGGACCTCACCCAGTTTTTCTACCGTGGTTTTCTCATTCCCTTCATTGTGCTAAGCTCTAAAAGGAGGGATTAGCCTGGTTGTGATGGTTGGGTGATGTGAGCTACTCCAAACCCTGATTGAGATAATCTAGTGACGTATAGCATAAGAAGTACCTCCCCAGACTGGGCCCTCAGGAAGTAGCATTAACCTGCATGCCTGTAACCCCAGGGACTCAGGAGGCTGAAGCATGAGGATCACAAGTTTAAGGCTAGCTTTTGCAATTTAGCAAGACCTTGTCTCAGAATAAAAAATAAAAGGGCTGAGGATGTAGCTCAGTAGGAAAACACCCCTGGGTTCAATCCCCAGTACCAAAAAAGCAAGCAAGCAAGAAAGAAAGACAACAACAACAACTAGCACTATCATCATCATCATTGTTATTAGTAGTAGTATCAGTGGCCACTGAGGCTTGGCCAGACAGTTCTCTCCATGCCTACCCACTTCTCTTTGTCTAACTCTCTCCTCTGAACCAAGATGGTTTCTGACATCCAGGAGGAGCTCTAAGACCCACCACCTCTTTGGTACCTCCTTCCTCAATAGCTCTCTGGGAGAGGCCTCATGACCTTGGCTGTTGGCCACTACACCATCTGTTTGGCCAGCCATGGCTACCATACTAGCTCCACCAACCCTCAGCAGCAGCCGTGATAGGGTGGGGAACCCTATCACCCTACTAGATAAGCTGGGGAGTGACAAATTTTGCCCGTCTTATAGGTAGGAAAACTAATGCACAGCTGCCAACTCGCAGGTTTTCCAACCAACCAGTAGAGCAGAGCCAAACTAAAACAAAGTTTTCTGACCACAGTCCAGTGCTTTTTCTATAACCCCATTCCAAAGAGCCTTGTTTGCTCAGATTCTCCCTGAACCTCTTGGAAGAGGGCCACACCAGCCTGGGCTTCTACCTGGTGTGTCATGTCAGGACTCCATGGAGGTTATGGGGAGGGAACAAACACTTTGATTTCAAACAGACCTGAGTTTGAATATTGACTCTGGCCATATTTGTGGAAAGTCACCTCACCTCTGGTACCTATAAAACAAGATGAGTGTGGGGGTTGAAAATGCTGTACTTTAAAGGACTGACTTTCATAAGAGCTCAAGAAATGGTAACTAAGTATAGCAGAAAATGGTTCTGTGAGCTCTGAGCTGGCCAGTGGCCTCTTTGTTGTTGAACGGGGGCCTGGGCAGCCACCCTTCCCTTCTGAATTTGCTGGGTAGTTCGCTATTCTTATGACTTGAGTTGGGTTTAGTAAATAGTTCTAGAATTCATGTTCTTCCTTTTTAGAGACAGAAGGAGTTCCTGGTGGGCAAGCATAAGGTTACAAGGCTCTGGAGTCAGTAGCATGTCTGAATTTTCTGCACAGGCTTATGGCTCTGCCAGGTGGAACTGTGTGATTTTGAGCAGTCTCTTTATCTCAGGAATGTGGATGCTTTGGTTTGTAGAATGCCTGACAGCTCTTGCTGTGTCAGAATCCGACCCTTGCTATCAGTCATGTACCTGAGAAGCTGTAGTTTTCTTCATAGTTAGTGGGAGGTCATGCCCCTATCTCATCTCTAAAGCCCATCACATGGATAGTGACGCTCCATGGATGATGTTCCTCCAAGCCTATAAACTAGACCAATCTGATCCTTTCTGAATACCTGGCCCCCACTCTGCCTCTAGAGAGCAGTGTTGTTAAGGTGCATTCTCAGAGAAATGTTAGATCCCCCTATCTCCACCAATCTTACAGCTCCACTCCAAATAAGCATACAATCTAGGAACATAATAATGTGCTTTTTTTCGGGTATGTGTGTTGGGGCAAATGTAGGGTTAACACAAAGCCTTCAGCTCCTCTTTGAACCTGACTGCTACCCTTCAATCTGTCTACTGTATACACTTGGCATGTTCCAAAGGAATTAAACCTTGGGCCATTCCCTGGAGCCTCCCCTTCCCTGTCCTAACCTTGGAGTCCTATGCATGCACTAACCTACCTGCTAAAAAGCACATTGGTCCCGATGTCATACAGAACCATGAGATGACAAGGCTGTCAGGAACCTCAGGGATCATCTATCCTATAATCACTTTGAACAGATAACAAACAAAGTCCAAAACTGGAAATGATTTGCCTAAGGTCATACAGCCAGTGAGTGCCGTAGCCAGTGAGTACCATAGCCAGGTCTTGAACCTGAATTTCTTGACTCCAAATGCTCTCTTTACTTCAGGAAGGTCTCTCCTGCCTGTCATCGCCTGGTCCCATGAAACTTTTAAGAAGCAGTCCAGCAACCTGAGAGAAGTGAGAAGCACTGGGCTCACTCCAGAGCACTTCACCTGAGGCACTGATGCCCAGCTGTTTGCTTCAGAAGTGGCTCCAAGGGGCTGGGTGGGAAGCAGGAGGCCATTAGGACCCAGAAGCATTTCGAGCATCCTGCTCTGCCGGCTGCCTCTCACGCTCACTGCAGTGGTTCAGGCTTCAGCAGCCTTGGAGAAGCATCAGCTGAGAGGAGCTATCACATGGGAGCCGGGAGCTGCTCAGCAAAGGTAGGAGTTGCCGACTAGGCCAGGAATGGGCCAGACCCAGGGCCTGGTGGTGAGTGCTGCAGCACCCTATGGAAGGGTAGCATTCAAAGGACTAGCTCATCTTACCCTATGGTGGGCAGTTTTGTTAGGGGATGGGCTCCCAGGTATCCCACAGGCAGTAATAGGGTGTCGGCATCTCTGGAGCCTAGAGATGGGGGTTTGATGATCCCCTGCTGGTGGGGGTAGCCACATTCTGCAACAGACAGCATTCTCCATCTGTCTTGTTCCATGTCATAGAGATGGGCTCCCCACATCTTAGGAATTGGTTCTTTGGCATCTAGGCTGATGGGCAACTGTGCCCTGGGTGTGGGCAACTCTGCTTGGGAGAGGTGTTGAAGCTTCCTAGAAATCTCCCCTGGCTCAGGAGGGGTATGAGCTTGCCTGAAGGAAGACTGGGCTCCGATCCTTGGGAAGGAAGCTCCGTATCTGAGAAACAGGTACATTGAATCTCAACAGCACTTCTGTGGCCTTGGGCTGGGCACCTGTGTGCATCCTGCGTCCTGAAACAAGGGTATTTGTTACTTGACTATGCCCCTGCTACAGGCCAGACCTCAGTCCCTATGGTGGCCAAATCTTCCAGGAACTAAGAGGTCCTGGAGGTGAGGTGGGTGGTGTTGGAAGGAAGCAGTGGGAGGATGAAAGCATCTGTTGGGGTAGAAGGCATGATGACATGAACTGGGAGTGGAGCAAGGCTCCCTGGACTACCCCTATAAAAGCATTACACCAAGGCCCAGCCCTCTATAAGGCAGATGGTCAGAGGGAGTGTCCAGTTGCCAGGTATATTGGTCTGTCTGTTAGAAGTTAAATAGGATTCCTGGAGTTTGGGAGTCATTGTGGAAATACTGGCAAGACTGAAGGGACTCTGAGAAATGTCCAATGCTTGTTACCTAGGGCTCCATCATGGCTGTATGCATCCCTCCACATCCACATGGAAACCATGTCTGCCTCTCTCATTCTGGGACCCTGGCTGAGCCTTGCTAGATTAGACTCTTGCATGCAATCCACCCATGGTGGATCTTTCTTCTATTAGTTACCATGGACTCGGAGTCATGTCTTCTGGGTGCCTCATAGGTAGAAGAGATGGGTAAATTGTGGCATAAGAGGCAAGGATGCTTCCTCTAGTATTTCTGGTGTTTTTCCTGGTAGACCATCTTAAGAGAAGATGACATCTCCACTTTTCTGCCCTCTCTTCATGTTCTCTGCAGACCCTGAGTCTATGTGGCCTTCTCAACTGTGAAATGAGCTTTCTGCTATCTCTGGAGAGAGGCATGTCTCTAGGCAGATGTCCAAAGTTAGGGCAGTCTTGAATCCAAGAGCCTGGGTTATCCTTTCCAAAAAAGAGTCCCCTGGCTGGCACACAGATGACTGACAGAATATTCTTGGAGTTTGTACTAGGAGGTAGGGATTCACTTTGAGTCAATTTGAGTCTGATTCAGTTCACAAAATTGCATTGAGCACCTATTGCACAGCATGTTAGAAACTGGATTAGTGTGAGAGTCATGGTAACACCAAAACCCATAATTATTTTAAGATGATAACTGGAGAAGAGTGGGCCCTGGAGGCCACATTGTCTTATTCATAGAAGTCATGAAGATGGTAAGTTTAAAACTTAGCAACCACCAGGCCCTCTGTATCAGGGAACTCACAGAGTAATCAAATGTTATCATGTGCAGGATTTTGGAGGTCATCTAGTCCCAGCCTCCCATTTCACATATGAGGAAACTGTAGCCCAGGAAATTTTTAACTTGTCTACAGAAAGACCATCTGATTGGGCGTGCTGCAGTTTGCCTCTAGGTTGCATAAGTCATCATACTATATTGAGGGAATCTGCACTGCAAGAATGATATGTGTAAATGAAAAAAATTTAATTACATTGGGCAACCCATTTCAATTATATGAAAACTCAACATGGATAATGACACACATAAAAAAGATGTGATATTGACATTTGATAAGGAGAAATGAGAGATACTGGTTTCTTCCAGTCTCCTTGTCTGCTTTATGCTCACCACTTCATGATCATGCTGCTATCTGGGCATCTTCACCTCATGCCTACTCCAGCACCTACTCCTAGTCCTTGTTCTGTGACCGTGGTGACAGTCCAGAACCAAGAAACCCTTGGGCCAGGGATCCTCAGAGGGTCAGTCCAATGACAAGATATGGGAAGCTGGGAAAGTGAGAAGCAGCTCTTCTCCACCCACAGTGGCACAGTGGCCTTGAGAAGCTAGAGTAGGTAGAGAAGGGCAGCTTTCAAGTGAACCAGTTTCCTTCCAGCTGGGACATTCTATTTTCACTGTTTCTTTTCAACATTCCCAAAGTGATAGCTCTTTGTCTTGGGAGTGGTGATGTCAGAAGAGACAAAAGCACAGTTCTCCTTTTCAGGTGACAGCCCTATAGCAGTGAGAGACATTTTTTAGAGATAGTTCATATTCAACAATCGCTAGAATCCTACTGTATTTCAGTTGCTATAAAGGGCATCTTCATGCACATCAGGGCACCAGACTGACCAGGTAGGTACCAAGACCTGGCCATTTACTAGCTGTGTGACCTTGGGTAAATGCCTTAACATCTCTAGCCTCAGGTTTATTCCTGGAAAAATGGAGATAAGAATACTATTTGTTTTATAAGGTTGTATGAGGACTAAAGTGAGTTAATATTCATCGAGAGCTTAGAACAGGGTTGGACATGTGGGAAGCCTGTGATTAGAACTGTGGTTAATGAATCTCGCTGGGCCTGTAAACACAGTTGTGAAGTAGGTACTATTCCCTTCATTTTACAGATACCTTTATGAGGAAACGAGTCCAGAAGAGTTGCAGAGTTAGTAATGCCCAGACCTGGAACCGGAAGCCTAACCTTATGCTCCTTCTACTCCCTATTTGGAGATCAGAAATCGGGAAATTCACATAAGCAGCCCTAAAACTGCGCACTGTTCCAGAACTTACCAGGACCTGGGAAAGGCAGACAGAGGATTCAGAATCTCTGGATAACAGCTCTTGAAAGGGGAGAAGGGTATGGAGAATGGAGGAAGGAAAGTGGAAAAGAAAGAGCCAGAGGCCACTCAGGAGGGGGAGTGCTATTGAGTGGTCAAGGCTTCATCTCTCTCATGTCTCCTGCGTCTTCCCAGTTGTCAAGGCCAACCTGGGAGCCACCTCCTGCCGGAACAGGGATAGGAATTCCTAAGACTGCAGCTGCCTGGCCTGGTGCTCTGGACACAGAGCAATCCAACTTTGAAGGCTGGTGATAAGAGGCTCCAGCAGGAGCTCCACTTACTCACAATATTGGAAAGCCTGAGTCTGGGCTCACCATCCCAGGGTCGTGAACTAGAATGGGGGATGGGCCTGTGACAGGAGGTGCCCTGGGTGTCCTCTTTCGGCCCCATGGAGTCCTCGCCCATCCCTCAGTCATCTGGGAACTCTTCCACTTTGGGGAGGATCCCTCAAACTCCAGGTCCCTCTACTGCCAGTGGGGTCCCAGAGGTGGGACTGAGGGATGTAGCTTCAGAATCTGTGGCCCTCTTCTTCATGCTCCTGCTGGACTTGACTGCTGTGGCTGGCAATGCTGCCGTGATGGCCGTTATCGCCAAGACACCCGCCCTCCGAAAATTTGTATTTGTCTTCCACCTCTGCCTGGTGGACCTGCTAGCTGCCCTGACCCTCATGCCCCTGGCCATGCTCTCCAGCTCCGCCCTCTTTGACCATGCCCTCTTTGGGGAGGTGGCCTGCCGCCTCTATTTGTTCCTGAGTGTATGCTTTGTCAGCCTGGCCATCCTCTCTGTGTCCGCCATCAATGTGGAGCGCTACTATTATGTGGTCCACCCCATGCGCTATGAGGTGCGCATGACACTGGGGCTTGTGGCCTCAGTGTTGGTGGGTGTATGGGTGAAGGCCCTGGCCATGGCTTCTGTGCCAGTGTTGGGAAGGGTCTCCTGGGAAGAAGGAGGTCCCAATGTACCCCCAGGCTGTTCACTCCAATGGAGCCACAGTGCCTACTGCCAGCTTTTTGTGGTGGTCTTTGCTGTCCTTTACTTCTTGTTACCCCTGCTCCTCATCCTTGTGGTCTACTGCAGCATGTTCCGAGTGGCTCGTGTGGCTGCAATGCAGCATGGGCCACTGCCCACGTGGATGGAGACACCCCGGCAACGCTCCGAGTCTCTCAGCAGCCGCTCCACTATGGTCACCAGCTCGGGGGCACCCCAGACCACTCCACACCGGACGTTTGGGGGAGGGAAAGCAGCAGTGGTCCTCCTGGCTGTGGGGGGTCAGTTCCTGCTCTGTTGGTTGCCCTACTTCTCTTTCCACCTCTACGTTGCCCTGAGTGCTCAGCCTATTTCAACCGGGCAGGTGGAGAGTGTGGTGACCTGGATTGGCTACTTTTGCTTCACTTCCAACCCTTTCTTCTATGGGTGTCTCAACCGGCAGATCCGGGGGGAGCTCAGCAAGCAGTTTGTCTGCTTCTTCAAGCCAGCTCCAGAGGAGGAGCTAAGGCTGCCTAGCCGGGAGGGCTCCATTGAGGAGAACTTCCTGCAGTTCCTTCAAGGGACAGGCTGTCCCTCTGAGAACTGGGTTTCCCGGCCCCCACCCAGCCCTAAGCAGGATCCACCTGCTGTTGACTTCCGAATCCCAGGCCAGATAGCTGAAGAGACCTCTGAGTTTCTGGAGCAGCAACTCACTAGTGACATCATCATGTCGGACAACTACCTCCACCCTGCCCCCTCACCCCGGCTGGAGTCATGATGGGACGCTGGACACTTGGAGGGAGATGGGGCTGGAGGCCAGTTATGATTGCAGAGACTGCCTTGTGGGACCACCTTTTTCCCAGCTGGGCTGCGACTGGGGTTTCCCCACAGTTTTTGCTTAGTGTTTCCTGGGTCGAAACCAGAGCCAACAGGAGGGATATGTGGCAAAAGTCATGGACTTGGCTGTGATCTTTGACTACTGGGGGAGGGAACCTGGGTATGGTGAGACAATGACGAGAGAAAAAGGTCACAAAGGTGAGGTGAAGCTTCTCAACCAGTGAACTTTCCATGCCTCAGGAAACAGGGAAACTCTATAGGTTTAAGAGCTGGAGGATCAGGGTAGCAGGGAAGGTTGGGAGTTATTCTGGGGACCACTGAGGATATTTTGCCTTTCAATGTAATTGTCCAAGGCAGTAATTTCACCCAAGCAAAGGTAAGAAAATAACCTGTGTCTCATTCTCTACTAGGTTTAAAAAGACTGAAACTTCAATTAAGGGTCATGAGTTAATAGATGATTTTGTAGTTTTATACTTGAAGTTTCCTTAACACAAGAGGAAAAACAAGGTACTTTCCCCACAGGGTTTATCCAGGAACAAGGGGAAACAGCAATTAGGGTACATGGAATAGAAGACAGGAAAGGTTACTGCAGCTCTTTCTCCCATTCTTCAGGAAAAGCCCTTCTGATTTTTCTGCCTTTCTCTTGCATGCAGAAGATCCAGCATGGGGACTGATCTCAGCAGAGATAATAAGACAGGCTTTTTCTCCCTATCTTTTCAGATGAATAACTAGAATGATTAAAGTTTGGATAGTTGAGGGTGGGGGTTAGCATTTGAATTAGTAAAGTGGCTGGATACAGACAGATCAAGTAAATTACCCTGATCAATAATACTGCAAATCTTCTCTTTCCAGGACTGGCCTCCCTGATCTCTCTCCTCATGGCAGTGACCCACCTCCAGCCCCCTGGACAATCGGGTACAAGAGACTAAGGTTGGGCATGGGAAGGGTGGGGTTTCCATGGTCCATTAAACGCTTTCCTACTCTCATTCATCGCTCTCAAAATTAGCTTCAGTAACAAAGACTTAAATCTCTTTCTTATTTGCAGCCCTGGGTTGGAGAGAGGGCACATGAGTTGGGCTGAGTTATTTACTGATTGAGACTGTAGGAACTGTGTTGATTGGCTTTGGTGATAGTATTTGCAACAGAAAGGGAATAATTGCAAACTGGACAGGAATCTGGGACCACCTGTCTATCTCACTTCCCTCAGTTGAATCAGGTAACACTAAAGGGTCATGGCAGGGCCCAAGGGTGGTGTGGTCTATATTTGAACAAATTCTTGTCTTCTGAGCATCACAGGCAGAAAATGGCTTGGTGGGAGTGGGGCTGTCTCCCCTTTGAACAGCCAATAAATAATTTTATGATAAAAATTATACTGATACCAACATTGACTCCTTCAGTTCAATTCAGTACATAATAGTTTTAACATCCATTATGTCCTGGGACCCACACAGAGAATGTGTGCGCCCCTGCCTTCAAGGAGCTAATAATCAGATACTTTGTATCTTTATAGAGCATTTGAATCTAATAAAGCATTATAAAATGTTTCTAAAATATGCTTGAGAAATATGTTAGAGACTATATCCACAGTTCTAATTTCTGAGAGTTCATTGCAGTAATACATAGAGGTTTCCTGCAGATTGTGGAAAGTGTGGGAGTTGTAAATGAAATGAAACTGGGCAAACATAGATTTTCCCCTTTTGAACTAGAAAAATTTGCAGGTTTCTGTCTTCCTACCACTAGACTATCATTCTAGTACAGTGCCTATTACACTGAAGAAATCCCTTAGGAAAAAAATGTATATATAGCAAAGGAGTGTCCTTTGTGATTCAAAATCTGTTTACCTCTATTTCCTTTTAAGATAAAGTCATAGGAGGAATCTCCTTTCTAGATAGGGTAAAAACTTTTCAATCACTAATCATCTAGTAGATCTGAGGTATTGCCAGCAGATGGCAGTGTGATTCTGGTGGAAATAGGAAAGGCATATGAGGGGGGAGGGAGAAAAGGGAAGGCATTAAATATTGCTTGGCAGCCATTTTGTTAATTTATTTTGGCTTTTCTTTTGACATTGTCCTCCAACCCTTCCTTCACATACATCAAAGAAGAAAAGTTTTAAGTGCAAGGATCTCTCTAATTTAGGCTGGAATTACCTGACACTGTGAACTCACTGACATTTACTACAGAGTTTGACATAAATAGATTCATTTGCAATTTGTTTTTCCCTGTAGGAATGGATCATGAAGGAAATTAAAGAGTTTCTCTTTTATTATGATGAGAACTTTCCAACATTTTCTGCTATGACCAACTTCCAGGAGTTTTCTAGTCACCAGGATGGCTTGGTAAAATTCAGTGTGTAATCCTTAGCTCTGAAAGCTGTTCCTGGGTAAAATCTGACCTCCCTAATACACTGAAGAATCAGCAGGCTGAGGAAACCATTCTGTCAATTACTTTTTCTTACATTCTGGTGATATCCAGGTGACTTTCAATACTAAATGAAAACCTTAGGCCTTTTGTTGTATGATGTCCCCAGAGCAATATCTTCTAGGGGGCAATGTAGAAAAGGGGTTAATTTGTAGTCAGATCTACTTACTCACTGTTTGAACTTGGGAAAGCTGCTTAATTTCTCTGAGCCTATTTCCTCATCTGTAAAAATGGGGATCATTATAACCTACCTCACAGGGTTGTTGTGAGGATTAAGAGATGAGACATGGAAGCGCCTAGCCATAATTGGTAAATAGGTACTCAATAAATATTGGTTTTTCTTCCCTTTCCTCTGGCCCTTTTTCCCCAGAAGTGTTGATAATGGAAAATTATCACAAAAAGCTCATTTCATTCTAACATCAGTTAGAAGCGACTGGGGACTTTAAAAACTTTTAAGAATTAGCATAAGAGTTATGATGCATGAGGCTGTTTGAGGTGGTTCTAATTTTCTAATTAATGAATCATCATTATATAGACCTTTCTGTTGGGACCTTGTATTCTTTTAGATTCTTTATTCCCAACTAATTTTTAATCACAGGAAAAGATTTTAGGGGCTGCAAAGAAGTCCCTCTCCCTAGAATGTACCATGACAGTACCTGTGGGGCTGTCTGTCGGTAAAGCTAATTCAGAACCGGCGCCACAGTACTTTCTAAGGTTATCAGTGAAAAGGTATCAGTATGGGGCTTTCACGGATTTATTTTCAGGTGACAATAAAGCCGAGAGGCAATTTTTACCAGAACTTCCCTTTTGTGTGGTATCACAACAGAAAATTTTAGGAGATTAAGAGGATGCACTGGTTTGTTTCCGGGTGGGGCTGACTGGACAAACTACACACTTTTCAACTGGCCTTTTGTAAAGCCCACAGCAACTTAGTCGTAGTACCATAAGGACTAGAATATATTTTAAGAGCAGGAAGCAGTGGGCCAGAAGAGAAGGCTTGTCTTAAGTAGGATTGGTGTTACAGATCTCAGATATCAGGAATGGCAGGAGCTTATGCGGGGCAATTTGTTCTTACTCGATAGATAAGACTGAAGCAACTTAGGCAGAAAAATGTCCAACACCTGGGCAAGTGCTCTGGGCCGCCAGAACAGAACCTGAGACCAAAGGGGTTTTATGCCCAGCGAGAATTTACCAGTAGAAATGGACATGTTGGCTGTGGGTTCTTATTTGAGAATCCCAACCCCCAGCCTCCAAACCCGCTGTGAGACCTCAGAAGAGCAAATGAAAAGGAGAACCCGGTTTTTATACATTTACCCAACAGGTAAGGGGGGGATTAAGGTTAGGAGATGCGCACCGAGCTTCACAGAACCTGACAGCTCCTCGGAACCCTCGCCCTCCCGGGGACTTCCGCTTTCGGTCTCATCTCCTCTCTTAGAGCGGGAGTGGTTCAAGTGGTAACGGCCGCAGGGCGTCGCCGGAAGTGTCGTAAACGCCGGATATCCGGTTTCTCGGATCGCTAGTGAAGCTGACGGAGAGGGCCGCCGCCCAGCAGCAGACGCGCTGTCTGAGCCAGAGGAGAAACACTTTCAGCAGAGTGTGAGTGAGGCCGGGCCCGGTTCCCTCTCCCGCCGCCGCCATGGGCTGCACGTTGAGCGCCGAAGACAAGGCGGCGGTGGAGCGGAGCAAGATGATCGACCGCAATTTGCGGGAGGACGGGGAGAAAGCGGCCAAAGAAGTGAAGCTGCTACTACTCGGTGAGGGGCTGGGGGCGGGGTTGGAATGTGGTCGGGAGAGCCCGGCTTTTCCGAAGCCTGAGTAGGGTCTAGCCTGACCGGCGGAAAGTACCCCAAAGGGATCCGGAGGGCGTGCCGGGGTGTTGAAGTTGGTGGCTGAGGCCCGAGAAGGCGTGTTGAGGGGGTGGAGTTTGAGGTAGTAGGAATTAGGCTGGAGAGGGTGTAACTCCGGACTGGTATGGCTTTTAAGAGAGTTTGGGAATACGGAGTTTTGAGACTGTGTTAGGAATTTGTGAAAAGCTCGTAAAGGAAGAGCCTCTATTAGGGAAGGTTTTACATTGGGTTGGAGCGTGTTGGTAACTCCGAGGACGCGGAAGCGTATATGTTGGGTTTGTACAATGGTTTGGGAGTTTGAGCGTGGTGATACTTGATGACAGGATAAAGCTGCAAGACTTGAATGTTTAAATGGAGAGGCTTGGACAGAATAGTCACATAAAGACCTTGTCATTTGTTAGAGTATTTTGAACTGTTATTAACGTATTCAAACATGAAGGTATCTATGTGTTGTGATAAATGGTAAGTTCTTAGCTATAAAGGAAAAGAGCTTGGGTGCAGAGGCAGTCTATGCTTTTTCCTACTTTTTTGTACCATTCGTATTCTCAAGATTTTATATCTCTTTTTGTAAAAGGAGGGGGATGGTATGAATTGAGGAAATTCAAAGAATGGCTTGAGTTTTGTGGCTATCTAGTGGACAATAGATTACACATTGGAAATTGCTGAATAGTTGCTATGGGTGGTGTGCAGTGGAATGGAGTTACTTTAGGATAAATTATGGAATTGGACATTTACTGTAAGACTAATAAACTTCTGGGGAGCTGGTTATCTCTTGTGTTCTCTTTAAAGGAAAAATACTGCCTTTAGGACTACTTCATGTTACCTGATATTCATTTTAACTGTTTTTATGTACCGTCAGATGCATTTTACTTAGCATGATTTAGTTTTAAACTTTTATAAATCATATGAAGTACTCTGGTATTAACTTATCAATAAATCAAGCCATGTTTCTTCATTGTTAGTATTTTATAGGGGTCTGTAAGTAGGAGTCATGGTTTCTGTAAGCAGTAAAACTTTACTTTTTAAAATAAATTGATTTTTCGAGAAAAAGGAGTTACTTTAGGGAAGTGCCAGATTTTCACAATGTAAAGCTCCAAAGGACAGAATACAACATCATAACCCAAGACTCACTTTGTACTCCATTTTGTACCAATTACTTCTCCTAGTCTCTTTATTTTTATTTTATTTATTTATTTATTGAGTACTGGGAATTGAACTCAGGGGCACTCCACCACTGAGCCACATCCCCAGCCCTATTTTGTATTTTGTTTAGAGATAGTGTCTCACTGAGTTGCTTAGTGCCTTGATTTTGCTGAGGGTGACTTTAAACTTGCCATACTCTTGCTTCAGCCTGTCTAGCTGCTGGGATTACAGGCTTTATACCGTCCATATCTCTTTGTTAATGTATTTGGTTGTTAGTAGATTGTAGAAATATTAGTGACAGCTTCTTTTGGATACAGAGGAAAAGTTGTACATTGAAAGGAGCTTCCAATTTGAATACCAGAACTTCCAGAAGGCATGAATTTGAATTGTAGTTTTGGACTGTCTTTGTACAACAGCAATCTTCTGTGGATGAACATTTCCTTGGAGCATAGTAGATGTTCCTTAAGTATTTATTGCTAGTTAATGTTGGACATTTGTCTTTGGGGCCCCTAAGAAGTTTGGCACAAAACACAATATCCAAGACATTAGCATTTTCTTTATTGATCAGTTGGTTATGAAATTAAAGGCATATTCTCATCTTTTGTGAATGATTTGATTTATTTACATTGACCATAAGAGAGACCCTCAGGACACTAGCCTATTGTAATATAATTGTAAACTGTGAGGCTTTTTAATGGCATGATGTAGCAGTCAGAACTTGGGCAAGCAGAACTTTTCCAAATGTCTGGAAAATTTTTTATTCAGAACTTTACAAATAGTGCATTTAGTTAAAAACAAAATTAAACACATGATGACTTACAGAACTTGAAAAGCAATAAGTAAAAATCAAAGTACTAAAACTTTGCTTTTAATTTTTACCAGCTTCATTGTTTTTCAAGTGTGGTTTTTATACAGTATTCTTGAGTAAGTTAAATCAGTAAATTCAAACAGGTTGTAAAAACAGCTGCTCTCACTTGAGCCATATCATAATACATATCTTTAAGTTAAAATTATCTTTCATGCTATTTCTATAACCATAGTACACCAACATAGTATCCAAGTTTTTTTTTTTTCCTGTGGAATATCTCCTTTAATGTGCATGCAAGCCTTTTTTATTTTTACTTCAATACTATGAAAGTATCTAACTTAGTTTAAGTTGAAATCTATCTACTTATCCTTGTCTCTTCTGGCTCACAATAGATTTTCTTACTGGGATATAGTTTTTTTTAAATATTTATTTTTTAGTTGTAGTTGAATACAATACCCTTATTTTATTTATTTATTTACTTTTATGTGGTGCTGAGGATCGAACCCAGGACCTTGCACTGCACATACTAGATGAGAGCTCTACCACTGAGCTACAACCCCAGCCCATGGATGTAGTTTTCAATAATGATGGACAACATGGGCTTCCAATCTTAATTCCCATTTGCTAGCTATAAACTTGGAAAAGTTATTTACTTAATTTCATTCTGCCTCAGGTTCTTTAAAATGGAGAAAATAGAGAATCTTCATGGTGTCGCTGTATGGATTAAACATGAAAACAATGTGAGGCAGAACACAGCCAGGTATATAGTACTACCTCAGTGAATATTAGCTGTTACTGTTATTATGAAATTAAAGTGTATGTTACAGACCATAGGTAACACAGAAATTTAATTAAGATACTAGAATGGGCTAAATTAGCTAAGACTTGAGTATTGTAATTCTTCTTGGATTACTTTTGGTTTGAATTTCTTTCTAATTGGAAAGGTCTTGATATGCCAAATTAGTGTTTAATCACAATTTTCTCTTGAAAGAGAAAATTATATTATGAAAAGCTTCCCAATCAGTGTGTAGTAGATAAGATGGCATACAGGTGAGCTGTTTGCAATTTTTTTGTAATGTTGAAATTTTAAATTATTTTTATAATAGTTGAAATAATATTTGAACACTTATGTGATTCTCTAAACTTCCTGAAGTTAGTAATTTGAAAAATATTTATTAGAAAGATTTATTCCAATTTAATCATCTGTAATACTTTGTATTTTTTTAGTCATAATTTCATAACAAAGAATATTTTTCACCAAACCTCTCCAGTTTATTCCAGTGAGCCTTACAAGTACTCCTTCTCTTCTTCCCCCTGGACACTGGGGATTGAACCAAGAACTCTACCACTGAGCTATATCCCCAGCATTTAAACATTTTTTTATTTTGAGACAGGGTCCTGCTAAATTGCTTTAAACATTTTTTTATTTTGAGACAGAGTCCTGTCTTTAAACATGTTTTTATTTTGAGACAGGGTCCTGCTAAATTGCCTAGGCTGGCCTCAGCCTCACTGATAGTTGAGATTATTGGCATGTACCACCACTCCCAGTTTATCATTTTCAGTGTGCACCCTGATATAACTTAAAGTTGGGAAGCACTAGTGTGATTGATAAAGGCACTACTTTTGAATAGACATAAAACTGAATTAAATTTCTACCTTTATTTACCACTATGAGATTTAGAACAAGTAACTCAACCATATGCATCAGTATATTCACCCATATAGAGTTGGGATGATAATACTTGTTTCATAATGTGCAATGAGATAATATATATAAAATGTTTACCATTATTGCCTTCCAAATAATACTCACTCAATGGCAAGTTTTATCTATTATGTTTGTGAGGCTTATCATTTTAGCTACTTTTTCCAGAGATATTTCAGAAAAATATTCGATTATTTTTCATATTACTAAGTTCTTTCCCAAGCTTTTCAAAGAATTTTATATTCTTGTGGTGAAAGGAATTAAATCTATGGCAAGAATTAAGTTGCATGCAGATAATTGCATTTAAAACCTATATTGTAGGATATTTGAATTTATCTCTAATCCTGTATTATATAATTGATCATATTTAAATTTGCAAATTACTGACTGTGCTGGAAATAAGACCGTCCTTTGATACATATGCTATTATATTCTTCTATAGGAGGGTATTCATTATAACATTTGCCATTTATTTGGGATAAGGTTTATAGAAGTTAAATTTACTGTGAGGATTTGTGTTATATTGGGACAAAGAAAGAAAATGGCATAACAGATAAAAGTATGTGTTGCAAAAAACTTTTTATAGGCACTTTCTTGGTATCTTTTTTTTTTTTTTAGTTGTTGATGGGTCTTTATTTTATTTATTTATATGTAGTGCTGAGAATCGAACCCAGTGCCTCACACATGCTAGGCAAGCACTCTACCATGACCCCAGCCCATCTTGATATCTTTTACATAAGTACATTCTTTTGCAGACTGAAATATGGTCCTTTTTTGGACACATGTCATAATGTGATCTTCCCTGACCATGATATTCTTGTCATACAGTGATGACCATAGAATAGGGTGCTCAGTATTTAGATTTGAAAGGGCATGTGACTTTATAATCAGGGCTGCAGCTATATTTCCTTTTTCTTTTTTGGAGGGGGTTGCTGGGGATATTGAACCCAGGGGTGCTTAACCACTGAGCAATATCCCCAGCCCTTTTTAAAATACTTTATTTAGAGACGGAGTTTCACTAAGTTACTTATTAGGGCCTCACTAAGTTGCTGAGGCTGGCTTTGAACTCATGATCTTCCTGCTACAGCCTCCTGAGCTGCTGGGATTACAGGATTACTGGATAACAATATTTCTTAATAATAATAATAATTTTAGCTCAGCATACTTATTTGCACTATTACAAAACTTTGTTTAGATCTTAGGCACTTGTTTCTGATAACAGTGGCTCCTGGTCAGGAGTTCTGTTTTGCA